AAGCGGTATCTAGTGGTTTTGCTTTGCATTTCCTAATAGCTAATGATGCTGGGCGTATTTTCGTGTGCATTTGTATGTCTTCCTTGAAGAAATTGAAAGGCCTGTTCAGATCTTACGCCTACTCCTAAATTTGGTCATTTGTCTTTTTATTATTGAAGTGTAATAGTTATACGAAATCAGACAATTAAGCTCATGAACTCATCCTAGAAAAAGCTACTGAATATCAGTGTAGTTGATAAATAGTTGCTGAATATCAGTGTAGTTGCCTTCAGAGTACTCCCCTCAGCCATCTGGTAACCATAGTGATATTCAGCAGTGAGGCATGTAGCACTTTTTTCTGGGATTGAGTTTATGAACTTGAGTTTCAGACCTTGTACCATTATAGCCCCGATGGCCATTTCAGAAAAAGTATTCCCACAATTGCTCTGAAGGGTGAACTAGGCACAGCCGACACTGTATAGCTTCCTAAGAGAAGTACCTTGAAGGTGACCATTGTGCTATTCAGCAATGAATTATGTTGCATTTTTTTCTAGAATGAGTTCATGAACTTCATTGTCTGCCCGCATATATTCTAGATACGAGTTCTTTACCAGAGATATGATTTGCAAAAATTGTTTCCCAGTTTCTGGGTTGTCCTTTCATATTCTTAGTAGTGTCCTTTGAAACAGAAACATTTTAAATTTGTCTATGCCGAGTTTATCTTACTGTCTTTTATGGCTTAGATTTTTGCTGTCATATTTATGAAACCATTGTCTATCTAATTCAGGGTCATAAAGACTTTATTCTGATGTTCTCTTCTAAGAGTTCTATAGTTTTAGCTCTTACATCTAAGTCTTTGATCCATTTGGAGATAATTTTTATATAAGATATGAAGTATAGGGTCCAACTTAATTATTTTGCATGTGGATATACAGTTATCTCAGAACTCTTTGTTGAAAAGACTATTACTTCTGTGTTGAATTGTCTTGATGCACTTGTTGGAAATCAGTTGCTCAAAAGCATGATAGTTTATTTTGGACTGTCAGTTGCATCCCATGGATCTGTGTCTATCTTATGTCAGTAGCACATACACACATGCACACATACGCACATACACACGTACGCACATACACACACGCACACACACATATACACATATACACATATGCACATACGCACATACGCACATACACACATACTCACATACACACATATACACATATACACATACGCACATACACACATACACACATGACATGCAAGTACCACATTGGCTTGATGACTGTAGCTTTGTAGTAAGTTTGAAATCCGAAACTATCAAGATTGTTTTGGCTGTTCTGGGTGCCTTGGATTTCCATATGATTTTTAGAATCTGCTTGTCAGTTTCTGTAAAATGTCAGCTTAGATTGTTGATAGGAATTGTATTCAATCTGTATGTTAACTTAGAGACCATTGCCATTGTACCGATAGTAAGCCTTCCAATCCATAAACATAATAAGAAGTCTTTTCATATATTTAGATCTTCTTTAATTGGAACAGTGTTTTATAATGTTCAAAATGTAAGTTTTGTGCTTCTTTGGTTGAATTTATTCTTAGCACTTTATTCTTTTTGCTGTTATTAAAAATGGAGTTGTTTACTTAATTTCACTTTTATGTTGCTCATTGCTACTGTGTAAAAATACAATTTATGTTTCTCTATTTTGTATCCTGCAGCCTTGCTAAACTCATTTATTAGTTATGACAATTTTTGGTGATATCACATCATCTGCAAATAGAGATCATGTTGCTTCTTCTTTTCCAGTCTGGGTGCCTTTTATTTTGTTTTTTTGCCTGGACTTGCTCTGGCTAGAGCCTCCAATACAATGCTGAACGGAACTGGAGTATTTAGTCCTTTTAAATTAAAGTACTGGATCTTTAATAGGAGCTGACTTTGTAAAGTCACATGCCTATGAGTGATGACTCTGTGCTGATAAATATGTACACTCATAGTTTTTACTTATGATAAACTTTAATTAAACATGGTTATTTTTACTAGTTATGTCTTTTTTCCTTTTTTTTGAAGAAGAGTCTTGCTCTGTTGCCCAGGGTAGAGTGCCATGGCGTTGTCATAACTCACAGCAACCTCAAACTCCGGGGCTCGAGCAATCTTCTTGCCTTAGCCTCCCAAGTAGCTAGGACTATAGGCGCCTGTCACAACACCTGGCTGGTTTTTATATTTTTAGATACAGGATTTTGCTTGCTTAGGCTGGTCTCGAACTCCACTGGTCTCAAACTCCTGAGCTCAGGTAATCCACCTGCTTTGGCCTCCCAGAGTGCTAGGATTACAGACGTGAGACACCATGCCCAGCTACTCGTTATGTCTTAATAAATAAATTTTTACAGTGGAGATTTAGATTAATTGGAGAAATCTGTAAAATATATCTTTCTTTCCAATGAAAGCACATTATTCACAGAAATAGAAACAGATCAACTATAATCTTTCATAATAGATGATTATAAACATGTTTTTTGGGCCTCTAACGTGCCTTAATTTTAAGTGCAATAGTTATATGTAGAGGCCTATAAGTTGCCTCTACTTTTTCTTAACCATAAAGAATAAAATAGAGGGACTTTGGTGTCAGAAGAGATTGTCTTCTCTCATTTTATAAATGAAGAAATTGATCATTGGAGGCAAATTCCTGGCCAAGGTGACACATGTCCTTGCCCAGAGCATTATGCATGTAAAAAGTCCTTTAGGCCCGGGTGGGGTGGCTTATAATGAGTAATCCTAGCAGTCAGGCCAGTGCACCCCTTGAGTTCAGGAGTTCAAGACCAGCCTAAGCAAGAGCCAGAAAAATTAGCCAGGCATTGTGGCAGACCCCTATAGTCCCAGCTACTCAGGAGGCTGAAACAAGAGAATTGCTCAAGCCCAAGAATTTGAGGTTGCTGTGATCTATGATGCCATGGCACTCAATACAGAGTGACAGAGTGAGATTCTATCTCAAAAACAAAAACAAAAGTCCTTTAGGCTTAAAGACCTCAGAGCTTCCTCTGGATTGGGGGATGAGAATTGTTGGATTCTAAAGCCTCAGCAGCCGCCTGGCTTTAATCCATATGTCATTGAGATGCCCCTTGCTCTTTCCCCAAGAGATGCATGTGGCAGCCGCTGCACAGCCAGCCGACATGTCTGGCTGAGTGAGCCAGAGGGCTCTTAGAATCTAGGACAGTCATCTCTGCTCAACAGCTAGATGTCTGGTCTGAATTGACCTCTTCTTGCCAGCCTCAGTTTGCGATGATAATCTTGTGTAAGGTCTCAGGTATAGGAGTGGGACTTGGCAGGTCAAAGTTGTGTCTTCGTAATCTTCCCTTTAAATCTTTTACCTAGAAGGAAAGTCCTAGCAGGGAAAGAAGACTTTGCTATACTTGTCCATGTATGTTCCCTTTTAAGTCCCCACTCCTATCCTGCATATTGGAAAAGGAAAAATGTGTGTTTCCTTTTTTTAACATCATAGGAGGGAGGTCCAGAGATGTTACTTCACTGTAATTCAACAGACAGTATATGGAGGTGGGATGGTGGGAGAGGCCATGGGGCAGTGCACTTGGAAGAGACACCGTCTTCTTAGTTAGGATGAGTTCAGATGCTTTCCATTGTTTCACAGATGTTTGAGTCTGGATAGTTTGTATTTAAGAGTTTCTAGGTAGCCCTTCTGGGCCTAGACATGAAACTGTAATAATGAATCACCCTAGTGGTAAGGATCCAGTGCTATGATTCTGTGACTCTTGGCTGGTGCACAGAGTTAGGACCAATGGCTAATTAGAATGACAAGGTGCATTGATAACTAACTGATAACAACTTAGTGTACCCCCATCAAGTAAAGTCAAACTCTGGGCTCTCCTTAAAACCTTTCTTCACCTAGATCTTTTCTGTTAAAGAACAGAAAGTACATGGTTAGAATTTAGAAGTCTATGTAATTAATAAAATCTATAAAATAGAAAATTTGAATACTTTCAGTTGCCTTTTAATTTGCTGAACCCCCATGTTTTTGCATGCCTTCTCCTTGCCCCTTTTGAACTCCAAGAAACTTTAGGCATTACCTTGTACAGAACATACAACCTCTTCAGTTTGAATCCAGGCTCTACCATTTACTATCATGTGTTCTTGAGTTGTTTACTTAACCTCTCTGTGCCGGAACTTTTTGCATGGAGAAATAATAGTTCATATCCTCATAGGATTACAGAGATGATTAAATGAGTTATTAATAATACACAAAAAATGCTTTGAAGTATGTACTCAGGACATATGAGCTGTCCATTGTTAGAAGTAGTTCTAAGAATGAACAGTTTATTACTACCACTACTACAGCTTTAACTCTTCTAATCAAAGTTGAAATAATCAGTTGTATTTTTAAAAGGATTAAGGATGACTTGACCTTACATATACTTCCTCTTTGGGGATGTTAAGGGACAGTAGGGGAATAGACCTGTTTATAAGGCCTGTAAATAAGGGCTGTAGACTGTAAACCTGTTTCTGCTTCTCCTTGACCCTCCCTCCTAAGCATCTAGGAGAACATTCTTTCTTGGGATCTAGCCAGGGTATCCAGGCTCACGCAGTCTGATTTTAGTACCAGCCCAGGGAAAACATATAAAAGGAAAAACACAGAAAATGCTCCTGGTTCACTTCCCAGTTTTTCAACATTAAATGATTCCTGTGGAAAAGGAATAACATAAATGTGCATAGAGAAGATAATTTTTGTTCCTTCCAATTCAGATAGGAAACAGCCAAGAACAAGTTGCCCCCAAAGGTATCTTGTCCTGAGATTTGATTTAGCACTTAGTGTGAATCTCTGTATAAGCTTTTTTCTCTTTTTTCCTTCTTTAATTTCTGGAAAGTTCTTGGTTTCTAGGAATTGTAGCTGGAATCCCTCATAGTACCTGGCATATTTTCAAGCATGTAGTTAAATGGTATTAAATGGATTTGCAGTTAAATTATTAGACAGAACTTCCTTCTGTCTCATTAACACCTTGTCTCTTCTGATCAACAGGAATTTCAGATGAAGACATTATCAACATTACTCTTCCTACTGGAGTCCCCATCCTTCTGGAACTGGATGAAAATCTGCATGCTGTTGGGCCTCACCAGTTCCTGGGGGACCAAGAGGCCATCCAGGCAGCCATTAAGAAAGTAGAGGATCAAGGAAAAGTGAAACAAGCTAAAAAGTGAAGTCTCTCCCAAATGCTGGCTAGGAATAGATGCAAAAGAGGTGGCATGCAGTGTGTTATGGGTGCTGATTTTTCCCTGATATTTCAGATTTTCCAGAGCTAGGCCATGGAGCAGAGTTTGTGTAGGTAGCTAGGTAACATATCTTGGCCCAGAGGAGGCTTTAGGATGCCTGAGTGTTTGTGTCATAAGCCTTCTGAGTTAGCTTTCCTGCTAGCCCTGTCTGAATTACTCCCCAAACTAGTAACCAGTGGGGTTTAACCAAAGTCATAATTTTCTGAAACAGGAGACTAACAAGCAGAGATGAAATTTAAGGTTTTTACCATCCCATAAATCATTATTGAGTCACAGGCACTGTTCTAATAAGTAGTTCACTTTTATATTTAGTAAGATTTTCTGGGATGATAATAACGGATAATATATAATACACTGTAAGTATGTATTGCTAGTCTTTTCCTGTAGGAAAAGGGATACTTTGGTAGGTAAGTCTAGAAGCCCATTAAATGGGAAAATCACAGATTTGTTCCTCTAAGAAAGCTAACAAGCACATCACCATGATGCAAACAAGACCCTTGGACTTGTCTTCTAGTCCAGAGACATCCTTTGTTTGACATTTAGTAGAATTCCTCTTTGACTGCTAGAAAAGCAGCAAATGGACAACTGTGGCCATTTAGGTTCTCTTTTGGTTTGCTTTTTTGAACTTTAATCCTTGTGTACTTACAATTAGTTTGACAATAAAGTTCTGTGGCAGAAAGTGACATCCCCACCAGCTGTCTGTGTGTTTGATGGATTTTAGGTGGGCCCCTTTCTTCCTGTGTCACTCAAAGAGTTACACTTATTTCAACAGATAGACACTCAAGTTTTCTAAAAATTGAAGGTTAGGGCAGGAAAGGTAGAATATAGTGCATGAGGTAATTTTATTCACATGAGCAAAGGGAACGATATTTGGGGGCTTGTCACATACGTGTATTTGTCCTTCACCGCTGATTATAGTATGCACCGGAGTCATCAGGGCAGGCCATGGACACGATTGATTGCTTATTCTCTTGATTATACTCTTTTTCACAGTGTGTTTTTAAATGCTGGGGGTATGTGACTCTTCATTTCTTTAAGCTGTTGACTCTATAGGGTGTCCCAAAGATATCATACATAGGGGGAAGTGGGATGTTGTAGCTAAATGTACGTTTATTCACAGATATTTATGAAACATTCTCTACATGTTGGCTACCTCTTTGTATAATTTTGTAATATTTTGTAAATAGAGGTACATTTAGCTACAATTTCCCATTTTTCCCTGTGTAGGGCAACTTTTGGGACACTCGTATTTCAAAGTGAGTCACATATAGTTCAAGGACAAAGTCATATAAAAAACATTTGCAGTAATAATGGCTGTTACCATTCTTTTGCAGGTTTCCATTGGTGGATTAGGTTATTTGTATCTATTTTATAGTGAAACTGGCATTTGAAGAAAACTAATTATTTTCTACAGGTTGGTCTCTGTGTGATCTGTAATTCGGGACTCTAGAAATTGGCTGAAGATGGCTGAGAAGGGATAAATCTGGTGTGCTCACGGCTGGCCACAGCTGTGAGGCGTAAGGACATGGACTGGACACTGTACATTTATTACTGACAACTGGTTCTCTGTGTAGCCCCTTCATTTTAGTTTTGTTGATTAACAGAATAATACAAAGAGCAGGGTTAAGAATGAAACGACTAGATCTTCCTAGAATACCAAACCTGTGGCTAGGCTGTGACTTAGACTGTTTTTTAATAACTTCTCTCTGGAATTGACCTCTGACTTTTCTATCCCACTTAAGGCCCACATCTGAATGAAGCCCAAGATCCTAAAGATGGATTTCTTTTGTTGTCCTGAGTCTAGGTGTCCACCTCCAGGGGACCCTCTGCACACAAAGCAACACTCATATCCAATCACTTTGGAATCTTGCAGGCTTCCCAAGATAGGGATGATTTTTGCTCATGTAATACTTCTGATAAAATTTAGTCTCACTGTTTTCCAGATCTCACCTGAGGTAAATGTGAACAGAAAAGACATTTACAAAAACCTCACATAAACCTCCTATTTCCGTTGGATTATTAGCAAGTTATCCAGGATTTCTGAGGCAGGAATCCTGAATCCTGCCTCACCTGCATCCTAATCTTGGCATCCTTCTGTTCTGTCTGAGGCTGGGCCAGAAATTACAGATTTTATTTATCCTAAAGAAAAGGAAGACAGACTTCTAGGAATTTGGTCCTTGGGCAGCCTATCTTGTTGCCAGTTTAAAGTTTCCCTGAGACATGCTAGATGCCCGCTCTCTCCCAGCTGAAATGGTTGCCCCAGTGTAGGTCCCGTGTGGTGAGTTAAAGACAGTAGCAAGAGCAGCTGCTCTCAGAGTTTCAAATATCTGACACTAGTAACACATCCCGGTCCACTGGTAACTGGTTTTTTCTTTTAGAAAGAGCAGCTCTGCCTCAGAAAATGGAGGGGTTTGCATTGTCTAGTACCAATTTGGGCATTGAATTAACAAATTATCCTTGGTTAGAATATACATGTCTAATGTCTCTTTTCCTGATAGGATCAAGGAAGATTAATGGGATCGATTTCCAAGCTCAGCTAGAGTCTTTTGCCCAACACATGCAACTTATTTTTCGTCTTAGTTCAGGACTGTTAGTAAGATGCAGTTCCCAGGGTGCATATTAATAGCAGGGCTCATTCGTCTTCTACCCTGGGAAGCTTCCTCGTGCCCTGTAGCTTTGGAGAGAATGCTTTTCCTGGTCGCAGTCTGAATCTGTTGGAACCAATTCCTGCTGAACTGCACTCCGTCAGCCCCGTGGCTGAACGCGGAAATCCTCCAGGAGGAAGAGTTCAGGGATCAACTTCTTTCCCTCCCTTCTACCATGTCGTGGTAACTGTTCATTTTCCTAGCACCTTGGAGTTTTTGACAAAATGGAGTGGAAGAAACTACGAGACAGAAAATTTATCTCACCCCTGTATCACTTTAAATTCATTTTTATGCATTTTACAAGTAACATGTAGGAATCTCTTCAAAGTTCTCCTTTCCTCTCACCCAGAAAGCCTTTCATATGTTCTCTCCCTCAGAAACACCCCACCATTGCCTCGGCCTGGCAGATCACTAGATCCTGATCATGTTTCCTTTTTTTTCCTTTTGCAAGTTTGGGGCTTACTTATGTAGCACCGTTTATTATATAAAATCATGCCTGCCTCAGAGCAGATGTGGCTGGGACAGATGTTGTGTTAGGCTATAGCCAGAAGGTTTTCACATTGGGCTAGGAGGAGAATTTAAACCAGTGATTCCAGACAGAGAACATTCAAAACACAAAAATATTTGAATCATCTAATCTCTTTCTAATGACAGTTATTTGGCCAAATTAAAGACAGAATTGGAGTACCTCCTTTTCCATAATTGTTAAAGTATTGATTATTGGAGGATACTCTAGCTTTATAGTCTAGCCTTTAACACCCTAGAACCTTAAGTTGCCCAAAAAGTTGATTTCTCTGGCAATTTTTTAAAGGTAAGAGAAAGTGTGGTTTCCACTTGCGACTTGCCTTTCATTTGAGTTGGGGCTAGCCATTTAAGCTCGTGTTTTTCAAAAGTCTTTATTATAAAACATTGTAGCCATTCACCAAAGTGGAGAGTATAAATAGCACAATGGCCACTCATTAACTTAATGGCCACTGTTATGTACCTTCTCTCTTGCACTGGATTATTCTGGAGCAAATGACAAACACAAAACTGGGTAGATTTTGAAAAGCGAAACAGCTGTGATTCTCACTCCAGAGTCTGATGGAAAATACTTGTCCAGTGCTGGGTGGATTCCACTGTGATCTCTTCAAACTTAAGCTTCACATCTCAGATCCACTCATCTCACAGCCACCGCCAACATGAAGCAGATACGTGCTGAGACCAACCTGAGCTCCCATACCACAGACACAGCGGTCATCAGAGATTGCCTGCACGAAGGTCTCAAGATGAGTACAGCCACTTCCTACGTGGAAGCTGACACCAGCAGCAACAGTTAGCTCTTCTGCCAGTCCCAAAAGAAGTTTGCTGGTTTTGAGCATGGAATCTAATGTAGCACTGAGTCAACAGACTGCTTTGGAGTCATCGGTGGCAATCGCAAAACCAAGTTGCCTCTGGATGTGCTCAGATGCTCTTTGACCATGGCACTTACACTGAGGCTGCTGCTTCTACTTCCAGTGGATTCCAGAGGCCGACTATCTGCTAGCTGATGTCAGGACCAATGGGGCAACTCATATAGCAAACCCAGAACCCCAACTTCCCACCCAAAGTGGAAGAGCAGGACAGCAGCACTCGCCTGTGTCTTGTGCTTGAGAAAATGGAATGAAATGTCACCCAGCAACTTGTGCTTTAGCTAGTATTAATATGTAGTATTATTCTGTCATGGTTAACTGCAAGTTTAGCTTGAATTAAGGGATTTGGGGGGACCATTGAACTTAATTACTGCTGGTTTTGAAATGTCTTTGTAAGAGTAGAGTTGGCACAGATGCACCAAGATAGAAGACTAGGAGATGGGGTCACACTTATCTGTGTTCCTATGGAAACTATTTGAATATTTGTTTTATATGGATTTTTATCACTTTGCAGACATGCTACAAGAAAGAATGTCTCTCCCTTGCTGAGCAAGCCTTTGTGGTTTGTACGGTGGCAGAATGGGCCACAAGCTTAGTGTTGTGACCTGTCTTAAGAATAAAGTATCTTGAAATCAAAAAAGAAATTTTGAAACAGCTTAGTCTTCAGTTTGATGAGAGTTATCAGTAATCTGTTCTGACCTTTGTTCTTGGTACTTTAAAGAAGCCAAATGGCAGCCATTGCGAAGCTGATTTTGGACTTGTATTAGCAGATAAGCTAATTACTGGTCTGATGCATAGTTGTAGCCTCTAAGATAATAGAAATAAAATGAGTGCACAATTTGTACACACATTACATTCTGTATTTAATACTGCCTTAAGAAGTTTTTCTCTTAATAGGACTGAGGTTTCAAGAATTAAAAAGCACAAGGGTGGCGCCTCTGGCTCAAAGGAATAGGGCACTGGCCCCATATACCGGAGATGGTGGGTTCAAACCCAGCCCTGGCCAAAAAGTGCAAAACCTAAAATAAATAAGATAAAATAAAGAATTAAAAGTATAGAAACCAGGCACCTTTATCCAGTCACTTCATGTAATGAGACACGTTTTAATGACTATACTTAACAAAACTAATATACTTGTTTCTCTCACAATGTCTTCTGTCACTTTATTTTTCTAGTTTTGTTTTAAAAAATTTCAAACCTACAGAAGGACTGAAGGAATAGTACAATGTTATAAACTGTTTCTTCAATTCAATAATTATAACATTGACTATGTAGCTACATGCCAAATAACATTTTGGTCAACAGTGGGCCACATATATGACAGTGGCCCCATAAAATTACAATTGAGCTGTGTCCACTTGAGAGGAAACTTCAGTGGATGTCACGTTCAACAATGTGGGAAATCATTAGTCAAAATAATTGCATAAAATTTACCCTTTTAATGGGAAGTCTTAGAGCAGTTGAACCTAGACCTTGACATATGTCACTTCTGAAGCAGAGAGAACAAAGGCCCTCACATAGCTCTGTGCCCACGGCTGAGGCTGTTTAATCCATCCTGACCATCGTTTTGTAGAACAGTCATTAGAGTTCCCCAGGCTGCCGCTAACCATAGGCTGGCTAGTCAGTTTCTGAAGCACC